TTTAAATAAATTAAATGGCCCTATTTAAATTATTTAAATTATTTAAATTATTTATTTAAATTATTTAAATTAATTTAAATATTTGGATTTCCTGGTGAAGTCCTTACAAAGGCTCGATTTAAATTATTTAAATTATTTAAATCCCCGAAAACCCTTTTGACAATTTAAATAATTTAAATAATTTAAATCCTCTGGAGAGCTTCCCCAGGAAACCCCAATATTTAAATTAATTTAAATAATTTAAATAATTTAAAATAATTTAAATAGGGCCATTTAATTTATTTAAATTATTTAAATCCCCGAAAACCCTTTGACAATTTAAATAATTTAAATAAATTAAATGGCCCTATTTAAATTATTTAAATTATTTAAATCATTTAAATTATTTAAATTAATTTAAATATTTGGATTTCCTGGTGAAGTCCTTACAAAGGCTCGATTTAAATTATTTAAATTATTTAAATTATTTAAATCCCCGAAAACCCTTTTGACAATTTAAATAATTTAAATAATTTAAATCCTCTGGAGAGCTTCTCCAGGAAACCCCAATATTTAAATTAATTTAAATAATTTAAATAATTTAAATAATTTAAATAGGGCCATTTAATTTATTTAAATTATTTAAATCCCCGAAAACCCTTTTGACAGTTTAAATAATTTAAATAAATTAAATGGCCCTATTTAAATTATTTAAATTATTTAAATTATTTAAATTATTCAAATTAATTTAAATATTTGGATTTCCTGGTGAAGTCCTTACAAAGGCTCGATTTAAATTACTTAAATTATTTAAATTATTTAAATCCCCGAAAACCCTTTTGACAATTTAAATAATTTAAATAATTTAAATCCTCTGGAGAGCTTCCCCAGGAAACCCCTTTTTTTAAATTAATTTAAATAATTTAAATAGTTTAAATAATTTAAATAATTTAAATAGGGCCATTTAATTTATTTAAATTATTTAAATCCCCGAAAACCCTTTTGACAATTTAAATAATTTAAATAAATTAAATGGCCCTATTTAAATTATTTAAATTATTTAAATAATTTAACTTATTTAAATTAATTTAAATATTTGGATTTCTTGGTGAAGTCCTTACAAAGGCTCGATTTAAATTATTTAAATTATTTAAATTATTTAAATCCCCGAAAACCCTTTTGACAATTTAAATAATCTAAATAAATTAAAGGGCCCTATTTAAATAATTTAAATTATTTAAATTATTTAAATTAATTTAAATATTTAGATTTCTTGGTGAAGTCCTTACAAAGGCTCGATTTAAATTATTTAAATTATTTAAATAATTTAAATTATTTACTTTCACTTTCACATACACAAGCAAGCATAGAAGCAAAATAGACCCGAAAGGTTTTTCTCTCATATATATATATATATATGTATGTACGTACGTATGTATGTATGTATGTACATATATATATATGGATCATGTAGTATATGTATTAGACATTCATGTATGTATTCTATTATTCTTACAACAGATATACTATAGGTTGCCTGCCTCTGCAGAGGGGCGGTGGAGCTGAAGCTGACGCTGCACCCCCTTCTGCCTCGACTCTCCTCATGTCAGGTGCTGCACTTGTACTCCGAACTAGCGCTTTCGGTGGGGTGCTCAAGGATGCAAAATTGACATGCTGAGTATGTCTGACAGAAAATGGTTGAGTCTCCACTCCCTTGCAGTTTCTCAGGTACGCGAGTCGTACCAGATACTGACCCAGACCAGCGAGGCGCCACCGGTCGACGTCGAGTAATGTTGAGATCAATGTTGAGATGTGGAGAGAGACACACTGAGTACATAAGGCCCGCCGCGATTGCAAGCTGACCCTTAAAAGCGAGAAGATGGGTGCCTCTCAGGTGCTGGAAGAGCCTCAGTTGATGGTTTGCTGCTCAGAGACCGGAGAACCGGGCCAGACCTTCGCTTCCCTGATGTCCCTTGCTCCTACATGGGTATGCCGTCTAAATTAGGGTCTCGGGGTGCTGCCAGGTACCATGACCCAGATTCCTACGTAATGTGTTCCGAGGAGTCCCTGTTCATGTTTGAGGCCGTGCTGAACCAGACCCATCCAGGCCAGTGGCGTGGGACACCCTCCTTAAGCCTTGGACGCCTGTGCGCTGGAGAGGCCAGGATGCCTCAGACGAGCAGACGCCCGAAGACGGAGAGCCTAAGGAGGAGAGCCAGGACTGCTCCTTGATGCTTTTGGGTTCGGATGGTTTAAGGGAGGTTTATGGCATCCCTAGGCAGTTTGCCCTGTTTTGCGAAGACCTCGTCAGGTGACGCTCGGAAGGGAAGAAGGGAACACGAGGGCCTGTGTGAAGAATGACATGCGTAGACGCAGCTTAGCAGGAACCCCCTCCCCCCCAGTTTGGGTGAACGGGTAAAGCTGTCGCGTGGGGATTCAACTCTATGGCAAGTGAAGCGCTCTCAGAGTCTCGCGCGCCACATTTTAGGCTTCGATATCCTTGGTGTGCTGCGTGATGTGGGGCTGATGCGCTGCAACGACCTGCTTAATGCAAGTTAGAGGCATTGCGCAACCCATCCCTGCCTCCTCTCCCCAACCTCACTGTCGGGGAAGCGGTGTTGTGGGAGATGCAAGATGCAAGGTTTGGGGCGACCGGTCCTCATTGTCTCACTGGTAATTTCTATGTGCAAGGAGCATGCAGCTTTTGGGGACAGGCAGGGTGTTCTAGTCGAGTGCCCGGCTTGTTTGCCACACATTCTTATCTGGAGACTCTGAATTCTGAAAGCTGTTGCGCAGATCAGAATCAAAAAGAATCTATAGAAAATGCCAGGATTTCCTGGTCGACGCGGCTCAGGACGGCTTCAGATATACCTGATGTGTCATGTAGCGCGAATCACGGCTTGCAAGCGTGTTTGCTGGTTATTCGGCTGGGTGGGTCGATCTTCGGTCAGTGTCCTAACTGAATGCTTCGTACTTGAAGTAGTTGAGAGCTATGAGCTGTTGCTGTGCTGACACTTGGCATGTGCATGGCACGCCTGTGCACGTGACGACAAGAGCAAGTTTTCAGCACGTCTCAGCACTTTGGAGCCACGCAGTCGTAAAGCATGTGTGTAGTAGCTGCTAGGAGCTGCTAGTAAGCCTTTTTTTAGGCTCACTATCGTAGGCGTGGTGCCAGAGGCCCAGCAGCTGTCTGCCAGCGGGCGGCACGAGGCGGCAGATACATTCAGTAGAAACTTTGCACACTCATGGGACAAAATCAAAAGGGCGGTGTCAACTTGGTGCTTGGACACTTGGTGGCTTTGTTGAGCAGATCCACTGGTCATGAATTGAACTTGTCAAAGAAGATCAGACAATCTTGTTCAGCGTAGACCAGAGAAGCACCATTGTTGCCCTTTTGGAAGGTCTTCTATTTCCACCGTCGGATGCTGAGCCCCTGCAGATGTGGAGCTGTTGAGCCTCTGCCAGTCTTTGCCTGGCAGGCATCTCGGCAGAAGAGCCGGGGGAGAAACAGGATGGTCCTGCGCAGGGCCACCGAGTGATCAATGGGTGCATCCGGGTCTTGCTTAGAGATTTTTTTGCATTTTCCGATACCTGCTTGTCAGATGCCATCCTTCACTATCCGGAATGTGATACTTAAGTTCCAGGCAACGACCAAACACATTATGTCACTTACGCGGCCTTGAGTTAGCAATCTGAGCATTCTAAGAACAACTTGCAAGATATCATCCGCTCTAGGCCAAGAGGTCGAGCAAGCGGCCGAGGCTGGATGCTGGACCCCAAGTGAACTTTTGAACTCTGGTTGGATTCCGACAGCTTGCGTAGATGTCAGTCGGAGGCTCTTCAAGTGATCAAATTCAGCGGCCTTTGAGAAGTATGGGCGTTTAAACATTAAACATTCTGATTGACTACCAAAGTGCCGCATTGTAGGCGGTACAGGATGCACGACGCCAAGGTAGTCCACCAAGCCTAAACCTTCCCATGGAACACGTCATGTCTTGTAAAATGTCTAGTAAAGTGACGGAAGGAACCCTTGGTAAGCATCAGGTTCCCAATGTATCGCTGTGTGATTGCTGTTGAAGTGTGTTTGTGGTGGTAGCGGAGAAAGTAACTTGCTCAAGACATTCATGAGTTTGATTCTTTGACTTTCATAAGCACCGATATAGCACTGCAAAGACAGCATAGAAATGCTTGTGCCACGTCCCATGATGTGCCTGCAACAAGGCGGGGAAAGTGCGGGCGATAGTTGGCAAGTTCTGATGCGCAGGGGCAAGTCAGGCAGGAGAGAAAATTCAAACAGTTCACTCCGGACGTAGTCCTGGCTGGCTGGCGATGCACCCAAGAAACCAGGAATGGATCTTCCTCGGCAAGTCACATGTGCTGTTCAAGCGAGTACGAAGAAACAGGCAACACCTGCACGCCCCCAACCGCCCAATCGGACAGACCTCAGAAGAATCATTGTAATGCATCTGTATGAAGCCACAACCGTGATCCCCAACCCGAACGCACCTGGACCCACTCACAATGTCCACACCGTCATCAAGGCTAAAAAAATCCTGAGAGCCCTTGATCCCAAAGCCTTCAGCGCTTTGCGAATCCTTTCGATCTCCAGAGGCTGGGCGTTGCGGAGGTGGTGAAGGCCCCACCGCGCTCAGGCCGGTTGCCCTTGTGGCGGGAGATGTTCGGATCAGTTTGTGGCTCTTTGGGACTCATGTGTTGGAACGCAAAGGGTGTTGGGAGTTGCTATACGGGTGCCATATGTGCGTGTTGCGCTACGATTGCTTGAGCATCACATACAACACACCGTCAAGCGAACAGGCGAATGCAGGCCCGGTAATAAGACGATAGGGGCTTTGTAAAGACACGGAGAGATGAGCTTCGAAGCCTGCTGTTCAATTGCTTGCTTGCTCGAATGTTCATCTGAGTAGTCTTAGTCACAGTCAGTGCAGACTCCTTAAGTCAAGATTGCTGCGCCATTCGCATGTGCAGAAGTCTTCCTCCTGTCTGCAAGGTTGGGGGCTCGGATGCGGGTGAATGTGCGCGCAGGATATGCTGCCAGCATAGGGGCAATGCTTGGGCTTAGGCTATATCCCCTCGGTCAAGACGAGGTCCACACATTTGACAAGGGAGCTCGCTTTCAGGCACCCTTGGGGCAGTCAGTCAACATGCATCACACTCCAACGCGTTTTTCGGAGGTCGTACCTGTCAGCGACATCTTGCCCGTCGTCCTCCACCGGGAGGTGGAGGTGGAAGTCCTGCCATCAGATTGTGCTTGTTGCTGGTTTCCGTGGACGCTGGCAAGTGGTGATGCAACAGCCAACGACAATCCGTTGCATGTGGTTGGGGTGTATTCTAAGTTAGGATGTCGTTCGGGGGCTCCTACATGGTTTCTAACGATGAAAGGTTTCTTTTTGGGGACCTTGATTTGCACTACTACCTCATCTGCACAGGCAATTTGGGCAGTCTGCCGCCAAGATGAGTCGCTTGGCAAGTCCTTTGATCGCTTTGGCACAGTTGGTATGAGTCTTACTTGAGAGCCGGAGAGTATCCGAGAGCATCATATCACTGAATCCAAGGTCTGTCTCGCGCTTTGTGGATGATCTTATCTTTGGCTCGGCAGCATGCATTCAGGCTCTCTAAGCGGCTTGATACCATTACCTGTTTGTGTGCATTCTTCGCACCAGGCCATGGCAACCGTAGTGGAGGCCAGTTCCGTCCTGGTTGCCTTTTGCACTTGCGTCTTTCGAATGCGCAGGTCGACGATGCGGAGCTTAACCAGCAGCAGCTGGCAGCTGTCGCACGGGCGAGCAGCGCCAAGCTCACACTGGTGCGCTGCGCAGTGACGGGCCTTCAAGCGTTGCCAGGCTTTCTGGTTGTTGCTGCCAGAGGTGCTCTTGCGCTAGAAAGGTTCCATGTGCTGTTTCCTGTAGTCGGATTGCCGGGCGGTTTGCAAAAGACAGCAGAAGGTCCGCAGGTTAATGGAACACAACAGACACTGGAATGCCTTGCTCGTGAGCAAAGTGGGCGAGCATTGTCGCGCATGTTCCGTGTACTCTGCTTGTCAGAGGGCCCTTCTGTCATCCCTTCTTAGGTACAGGGCCCACCGGGGACGGGGAAGAGCCGCGAACTTAGTGCCGACACGCTGACATCTATCGCACGCGTCGTGCTGGTATGGTATCCGTCCTTGATGTGCAGTCGGAGTCAAGTCTCGAATGGTCACAGCTCGAGGGATGCTGCTTCTTTTTGCAGGTGAAGTGGCCGTGCCTGACTTAGGCTTTGGGGGAAGATGGGTGTGGCAGTGTTCAGTGGTGCGCCACCTATGTGCTCGGACTTGAGGCAGCAATTGTGCAGCAGTGGGTGAAGGATGATACGGAGAGCTCCTGGCTGGTGAAGCATGGCGCCGCTGGAGCTTAAATGTTGACTTGACCTGCCGCGGCCAGGTCTGTCCTTGTGGCGACCTCCACGCACGCTGCCAAGGACACCAGCAAGCTTCCTGAAAGTCTCCCGCAGCATCCTTCAGCACCATTGTGCAGGATGTTCTCGCAGAGCGCTTGAGACGACGCCAGCAGTGCCCCCAGCATCATGTCATCATCCGCCAAGCCAGCGAGATGACGGCACAATGCTGCGTTGCATGCGCCAAGGATCCGACCCAGCACGCGTGCTGGACTCAAAACTACTGAGACTGCCAAAACATCCCAAAAGCAGCACCTCTTGGCATTGCTCAGCACTTCAGGAGCCCGAAACCAACGCCCACAGGAATCCAAAGACTCTCAGGCGGGGCATGTTTGGGAGATTGAGTCCGTTAAGAAGTTCCGTTTCTTTCAATGCGGGCAGGTGTTCGTCGAGACGGTCTACATGTCTAGTGCACGCACGGACAGAACTGTTCAGAAAGTCCTTCTGGATGAGATGCTTGGACTGCCTACGGTGTTCGGCTTCTAGTTGGAGTGATGCCAACTTCGCGTCTGCAGCGGTCCCAAGGAGCTCTCAGATCACCACCGCAGCTGTGGACCTGCCATGCGTTTGCCGATTTTTGGTGCTACGCTGCCCGCCCTGGCCTCTCTCTTTCTCTCTCTCTCTCTCTCTCTCTCTCTCTCTCTCTTTCTCTCTCTCTCTCTATCTCTCTCTCTCTCTCTCTCTCGTTGTCTTGGCCTAGCCCTAGCTTGTAGAGCCTACCAGTAGCTGGCCTTTCACCAGCTGCAACGTGCAGAGGTCACAAGAAGGTGTGCCGTGATTTTGCGATGATTGCCGGACCATGCTGCAAACATGGAAACGCGCACGACACCCTTACGCTATGCCTGAGCCCGAAACCTTGCAAACCGTGAACCCTAAACACGATGTGGATACTGTCGACTGCCACAAGGCCATTCTGGCGCTTGTCAAAGGTTTAGGCAAACTTGGGCAAGGCTTAGCAGACATGCCCTGAAATGCTCTGGAAAACTTCGGAAGGCTTGCAAACTTGGCCCTGCCAGGAGAACTGTACCTGAGACAAACACCCTTGAACGACCTCCCTCTTGCCCTCACAGATTCGGCCGACTCTTGAGTCCTCTTCTTAAAGCATCTGGAAGCGCCACCTGTTGTCCGGCCAGGCACTTGTTGCCCTGACCCATGGCTGCGAGAAGCGTCTCGGCGGCAGAGTGGAGCACATGCTGAGACATGCTGAGCATGTCTGCTACCATTGCAGGAAGCACTTGTGGCCCTTGTGGCATAGTGTTTGGCTCAAGGCTGGTGCTCATTGGGGATCCCCAACAACTGGGGCTGGCGCCTCGGGTTTGAGAGCTCAGCACAACACAGCCTCGCCATTCCACGCATGCTGCATCTTAGCCTGCGATTAACAGTTCAAGTTGTATCAAGTGTGTCAGAGTCAGGCCTGTATCCAGTTTCGGGCCGGTTTCCTCGCTGGGGGCTTGCTGCCCTCATACAACGTCCAGTTGAACACACTGGCTTTTTGACACTTTGTCGAGGACCAGCAGCTTTGCTGCTTTTGCTGAGGAGCGCCGAAGCTTCTTTGAGGTTGGGAAGTGCAATTACCTGTGAGAGCATCTGCCCCGATCCAGACAAGCCTCCACCCTGCGCAGGTACTAGCCGACAGATTCCAGTTGCAGCCACATCGGTTGCAGGCACACGGGGTTTTGAATGCAGGTCCCCATGTCTCCGAGCCATCAGATTGGCGTGTGCCCAGTTTTTTTGTTCTTGCCCGACAGGTCCAGCACCGCATGGACTCGCGCCTCTGCCGACAACTTGGGATTCCTATCCTGCATGAAGGGCAAGAAGAGCATACCAGAGCCTGACCCAATTCCTTTGCATCAGAATGGGATCTGCCGGTAGATTTCAGGTGAGTATCCCTCTCATCGCTTCTATGGAGGGCAGCTCGAAACTGCCGCATCTGCAGCTTGCCAGCAGCTCGCCAGCTTGCGCCCCAAGTCTGCCCTGATCCTCATCTTCTGACCGTTCCAGGTGGAGGTCGGCGGTGTGGCGGAGCGCATGTTTCCGCCTGGGCTGACTTTCAAGGCGGCGCCTGTGGGTTATGTGCAAGAGATCTTGCACCTGTAGGATCCCGCAATTTCAGAAAATATCGACAGCATCGCGCGCTTAGCACACTTGTCCGCATCTGCGCGACAGAGGCGGGAACCCCGGGGCATCCCGTCGTCTTCGTGGTGCGCCCGCTGCACGCTGCACCCGCTTGCGCTGTAATGTCAGATTTGGCAAGTTTGAAGGACACCTCTGAGATCCAGACTTGCAGGGAAAAACTGGCGCTGTGCTGAGCACCCGCGGTGCGACAAGTTGCGACAAGCATGCCAGCGATGCCTGGTTGGACTAGGTGCCCTTCTTCGGAAGCCTCTCCCTTCATAACAGGATGGAGGCACAGATTGTGAGACTCCCAGAACCACTGAGCAGCACTGGACAGCGATGTGGCGCATCCGCCGCCCTCCAATTTCGTGCCATTGGACCTGAATCAAGTTTGAGGTCGCAGAGCTGCTACATGGCTTCAAGGCCTGATGTGCTCGAGAAGCCTTATCCATGCACTGGGCTTTGCCGCAAGGAAGCTGCCGTTGATCCGTCCTGCATGTGCGCCAGGGGCCTAAAAAAGGAAAGCAAGCCGACGAAACCCGATGTGCAAGTTTCTGGTACATAAGTGCGTGCCATTCCGCATCAGGGTATGCTATGAGGTGCTCACTGCATACAAGGCCCAGGACAGCTTGCTGGCTGAGGCTAGCATGGACCCACACAATTAAACCCATTTTGGGGCAGACATCCTCAGCAAAATTGCAGCAGGCGATTCATGGAAGCAGCTCCACGGAGAGGGTGAAGATGCGGAAGGGCCGCACCACCATGATCCGAGAGCCCGGGGCCTCAAAGCATGGCTGGGGGAAGCCTTGAAACGGAGTTTTTTTGCAGCAGCCTAGGCAGGGCGTGGATCCTTTGAGCAAGGAGCCCCATCCCCGCATCTACACAGTGGATGGCTTCCAGGCCTGTGGAATTCCGGGATGCGCATGAACTGAGAACTGACAATCTGATCATTCCCGTAGACGGAAGCCGATCTTTGTGCTTTCGATAGCCGCTCCTTAGCCAGTCAAGTTGGAACATTCTTCTTGACCTGGGAAGTTGACAACGACCACGCCTCAATGTAAAGCATACAGTGCAGTCATTTTGTAGAGCCAGAAAGTGCGGTCTAGTCCGCAAGAAGGAAACATATACCACAATATAAGTACTCCCTGGAGCCCAATGTTGGCCTCCCTTTGTTCGGAGGGCAACGAGAGCGACTACGTCTTCTACTCAGCTGTGCGGCGCTTGGTCAATCTTGGGCATCCTGCCCCTGCACGCCATGCAACACAAGCATGTCAGGGGTCAGGGTTTAGGGTTTATAGGGTTTAGGGTTTAGGGATGTGATAATTCTGACAATTATTCGATGTACTTTTCGAGACGTAGCTTTGCTCTTTTTGAGGTCCGCAGTGGGAGCACCGCAACAGGTTTCGTGGGGAATCCCCAGCGCCTCTGCGTGTTGCTGACCCGAGCTCGTCCAGTCCTTGTAACATGCGTAGCATGTTCAGATCCTCAGTAGCGCACTTCATTGTCAGCCTATGCTACACCTAAGGCCGCGGGCTAATCATTGTGGGCAGCCGTGAGACCCTCCAGCACACCGAGGACCATAAGTAACTGCAAAGAGATGCGCAGAGCCAGTATCATCAGTGACTCAAAGGGCCTGCTTAGTTGCAGGGTCCTCCTGTTAAAGCCATCCTCTTCTGCTTCGTAGGAGTGGCAGCAGTGGCTGCAATCGGCAGAGAAGCAAGAGGCCTCGCATGGCCTCGCCACCATGTCATGATGCCATGTTCTTTGACGTTCCCTATTTTTTCTCGCCCTGCATTTTCTACTTGCTTGCGAGTTCGTGGTGGATGACGAGCTTGTTGCGCGACTACAGAGGACGGGAAGCCCCTGCATTTCTTGCAGCGTGTGTAGGAAGCTAGTGGCCATGCTATCGCGCAGGCGAGAGGTCGCGCAAAGAGGACCCCTCTGACGAAAGAGCGGATAGGAAGCTTTTGCCAGCTCTAGGCCAGCAATCAAAAGCCCAAAGAATCCCAAATCTGAGATAGCTTCTTAGCTTCCCAGCATTTGTTGCTCCTGCTTTAGACAACAGGATGTGCTGACCTGTACAGTGTTTCCATGGCGCAGACTGTTGATGAGGCATTGCGAGCGACAAAGGGAGGAATTCATTCCATTCTGTCACTCAAATGTGTTACATGTGCTTTATAATAAAATCTCTTTTGTCGGTGCGGGTATTGGGGTCGAGGTTCCTACCCAGACCCTTTAGACCACTGCAGGCCTCACGTGCTGACTTGGAAACCTACACATGCGTGCCAAGCAACCTTCTGTCATGCGGGTCATTCAGTGATACTAGCCCACAGTAACAGCAGCTGCGCGGCAACATCTTCGGCGTGAAGCCATGGCACGGTATTCTAGCTCCACGGAGGGTGATGCAGGGCCCTCGGGATCTAGGGCTTTAGTAATTAGGGGGGTGTAGGGGCTGTAGGGGTATGTGCATGTCTCCGTGCCATGTGTCGCTCCTGGCCGACGTGCGCTGAGGGACCGAGGCCTGGAGCTGGGGATGTCGTGCGCTGTTTTTGTTGTGTCTGTCCTACTGGGCTCACCGTTCCACAGCCAAAGCACCGAAGTGTAGATGTCGCAATTGGGTTCTCGGTGTGGCAGATCTTCACTTGGGTTGCTAGCCACCGCTTCTCTAATGAGGGCCAAGGCGAAACGAACTTTCAGTGATCTGCATTGCCTTGCAAGAGAGATCCGTCGAAGACTTCGGCTTAGTGAGTCAACAGGGTGTTGGACCAGACATTACTGCCAAGCAGTAATATGTGACCTTGGGGTTCCTGGAAGTGACGGCTACATGGAGCACATTTGTGCAGACAGCACTTTGATTGGAGAGTCCCATGCCGAGTTGATTCGTTTAGCCGTTGTTGCCCGAGATCACCCGAGATCTCTTCTGACCGTCCTGGAGCAATGTGCGAAGCATCTAGATCTGGCCTAGCAAGAGCACTGGATGCTGCCAGCAGGCTCGGGACGCACGATGATGTCTTGCAGGCCTTCCTGCAGATGCAGCATGGCACTGCCAGCAGTAGCACTGCCAGCAGTAGCACAACGGCCGAGACAATCCAAGACTTTCGGCTCTTCTTCCAGCAGCCCCCAATATCCATTGATCCGGATGCATTCCTGCAAGCAGCGCAGGCTGTGTCCCCAGCTTGCCTCTGTCAGGAGATCGTTCCACCATCAGATGGCCGAACATCCCACGACGTGCCTCTTCATGCAGCTCTCCATCTTCGCTTTCCTGCAGCACTGACCTGCGCATTGCTGAAGTTGCAGCCCGCTGCCGCAGCCATGCCCCTCCCCTTGCATTTGTTTAATTTGCTCCAGAGGAACTGGCACTTTAACCCCTCCTGGAAGTGCAAGGGGGCTGGCAAGGCACTGCCTCTTGCCGCTCACAGTTCCTCTTGCACCAGGCCGCATGTGCGGCCTTTCCAATCTGAGGATAGCCTTGTGCCTGAGGCTCACAAGCAGTGTCCGAAAGTTCCGTCGCTCTGGGAACTGGGCACAAGCTCAACACAAGGTGTGATGCCGCTGCACTATGCCCTGTGTGCGAATGCGCCGTCACAGATCATTGACAGCTTGATGGAAGCATTCCCTGCAGCGGTTACAAGTACACTGAGCACCACTGCAAGAGGATCAGAAAAGAGTTGGCAGGGCAATTTGCTCCACATCCTCCTCTCCAATCCAGAGGTCTTCGGCGCTGGGCCTGTGAAACGAGTGCTGAAGCAGTCGATGTTGCTGGACCCCTCCGTCATCAGCCAAGCAGACACCTTGGCCTTACCGCGACTTCTCTGCTCTTTCTACACGCACCAAGCTTACCGGAACTGGTCTCAGGGGACCAGGGCTTGCTGTCCGCCTTTGCTGATGCGGACCCTAAAGGCTGCGCAGTGCTCCGGCATCAGCTTGGGCTCGGGGCTAAGGAGCCGCTTCGAGCAGAGGACATCTCCGAAGGCATAAACGTGGTTCTGGCAGCAGACAGCTTGTTCAAACAAATGCAGGAAGGGCCATGGACCAACGCCGCTGCAGAGGATGTGGAGCAACATGCGTCATGTGCAAAGGTGCTGGTGAATGGTGAGTTCCTGCTCTGGTGGGCCTTGTTCTACGGCTGCCCGGCTGAGATCGCTCTGTGCTTGCTCAAGCACAATCCCGATGCGGCAACGCGACCACGGCCCAGCAGTGCTGAGCCGGTGTTCCTGGCCTTGGCTTCTGGCCACAGTCTTGCAGTCTTTGATGCCCTGCTAGCTCTCGCTCAGCCGCAACAAGCCCTGAGATCCAACTTGCGCCCCTCCCTGCAGCTTTTGCAAAAGCTGGGACACACTGGCGTAGCGCAAGCCTGCAAGACACGTCCTTTTGCGGATGCGGATGGCCTACTGCATGTTTGCCTCCGACTTGGCGCGCCGGAAGCGCTGCTGGAAAGGCTGGTGGAGATCAGGCCGGATCTGGTTACGTCCGCCACATTGTTGGAAGCGCTACAGCGGCCCACGTGCTCCGTGAAGTCCGCGAAGCTGTGGCGGCGATTGGCAGAACTGGAGCCTTCAGGAAAGCTTGTCGCCCTGAGGGCTATTCGGCGAACTGTTGGATCACCGATGTTGGAGCGCACAGCCCAGGCGCCCTGTTATGCCCATGGCGATGCAACGTATGATCCTTGGGCCAACCAGGATCCTTGGGCTGTTCATCAGATGTACCCTGTCCCGGCCCCCCCCCTTCCCCCCATCGCAGTCCTTAATTCTGGGCACACAGGCGAGACCCCCAGCCCAATCTCCCACGACGTGCGGTCAGCATTTCTTGCAGAGTTTGGATTGACCACAAGCCACGAGGAGGAGTCGCAGATGGAGATGCGGGAAATGCTGGAGGAGGAGCTGGACAGAGGACCCTCAGCGCGGCCCGCGGAGGTGCGACGCCTACTCCAGAAGCTTGCCGGCGCTGCGCAGCACCCCATTGCAGCCCAGCAGAATCCTGGCAAGGGAGGAAAGGGAGGTCTAGGCAAAGGAGGCAAGGGCCAAACACATGGTCCCGTTTATCCTGCCCAGATGGCTGCAGTCAACAGCTGTCCTGCAGCAGTCACAAGAATGCTCTTCGCGCAGTGGCCTGAGGTCGCAAGGTGCCCTATACCCATGGAACTGGGACACGTGATGAGACTCCGACGCCACACCTTCAGCACCTCGAATCCGACATACTTGAACCATCTCCTCACGCACGATGTGCAACACTCATTGTCAGAAAGCCGGCACGGGCTGGACGCGGTGCTGAACAAGGAGCTCGTGCTTGCTGCCCAGGAGGTGGTGATGTTTGCTCCTGAATTAGTTCAGTCCTCCGCTTGTGCTCAGCTCTTGGAGCGTTGTCCCTCGGACGAGAAGTGGTTAGCAGTCAAGGAATTCTGGCTTGGCTTGTGGCAGAGCGTGGAAGCAACGGAAGCCGTTTCAGAGTCTTGCTTCCAGGCGCTTGTTAACCGCACCAGCAACAACAGGCTGCAGCTCTGCCGAGATACACTGCCCGTCATCTGTCGCAAGAATCCTCGGTGGCTTGTGGAAGGTCCCAGGCCGCACGCCTGGTTATGCCACTTCCTGGCTGAAGCAGGCAGAAGCAAGCAGGAAGTTATGCTCCCTGAGCGGGATTGGGCGCGCGAGCGCCTGCTGCACATGGCGCATGCCGTGCTCGAAAACCTCAGGAATCGCAATGGTCAGGGTCTGGGAAACCTGTAGGCTGCCTGAGTCGGAAGTTGCCTTGCAGCTCCTGAGGCGGATCCACCAGCCACCAGCGACGCAACAGCCCTTGGCATGCAAAGGGTGAGGGAGGTGAGGTCCCTGTAACCTCGTAAGGATGGCTCATACTGTGTCATATTATGCTTAGGAAAAATAAAACCCAAAGCAGAACAAGTCACCTGGGCAAGTTGCCGGTTGCCACGCAACACAACAGCAGCAGCAGACCACAAAGACACAAAGCGGAATAGAGTGGCTTGCGTATGGTAGTCCTCAACCTCAGAGAGGGTTTCTTGCTTTGGCTACCCGGCTACCAGCTACGCATGACAGGATATGGCATGTTTCGGATACTGATAATTTAAAAGGGCCCAATTCTCAAATTCAGCAACCCCTGACTGCTCTGTGCTCTGAGATGGTTTTGAGGCTATCGGGTTTGGGAGTGAGCGAGCGCCCCGGAACCTTACAATCGAAAATAGCAACCTCCCCTCGAACGCCAGAGAGATCGGGTTCACTGGGCTTCAGAAACAGTGGTGCTGGCAAAAAACACCTCGGAAGCCCGCCTAGCGGGCGAGGGCGGAAATGACCAAAACTTTCGGCGTGGAGGCAACTGCCTGTCATCAAGGTCGAATCACTCCTTGCACGCTGCTGCGTGTGCTTCTGTGCTCTGTAGAGATTGAATCAGGCGGCAATTGGAGTGGTGGGCGATTTGGTTCTCGTCTTCGTTGCACCAAGATTTGTTACAAGCGCTGCATGTTTTCCATCCTGCTGTGTCTGAGGCTGACGGCGCATGTGGGCAAAGCCCCGTTCCTTAGCCAGCTGGTCCAGACAGTGGTGAGGCCGCACACGTGCAATCATTCGATTCGCTCTTAAGCCTTGCTCACATGAACAGGCAAGATCCGAAGATACCGCAAAGTGCTCAGTGGCTACACGACATGCTGATGAAGCCCCGAGCCCAGACGAGGGATGCGTCAACATGCAAAGCCATGACAGGCGAGCTGCTTCAGCTTTCGCTGCGGCAGGGAAAGCTTGCTGAAGCTTGGCGTGGTCAAAATCTGATTAACTCAGTCAAGCATGTCGCTCCAAGCGCCAATTTCTGAAGCTTCAGCCTTGGATTGGGATTGAGATTTCACTTGTGTGACCAAGGCTCGTGGACAAAAGCACTCACTGCAAGGGATTTGACTCAACAGCTATGTGGCTGCCAGCAGGACTCAGGGACACAATCGGGTCACGTCGAAATTATGTTGTCAGCTTTTCACACCAGCTCACAGCAGTAATCTGCTACTACTCCTCCGCCTTGGCCGAGCCATGCGGGCGGTGAACACCAAGTTGAACACCAAGAACACGAAAGCAGTCTTTGTAAAGCCAGACCATGACACTGAGTGGTTGCATCTAGAGCTCCAAGACGGTGCGGAAGCATATTGCCGTTTCATCCCGGGAAAAGAGCCGGAACTGCAACGTCACCAGCCTCATGGAAGCTTCCCACGAGAGGAGGGATCAGTCTTCGATTCAGGGGATTGGCTAAAGAGGAAGAGCGCGACTTGCAAGTGGATTCCGGTGACTTCGAGCAAGTTCCAGCAACAAGATGGCCTTGAGCAGTTTCTCCAAGCTATGAAAGATCCTCACATCAACAAGGAGCCAAGTTGCAGCCAACGCGACATAGCGGTGAGTCTGCTCTGCGCAATGGACAATAAATCCGAAGCTGGTGAGACACTGACGTGGTGGCAACAAATTTTTTCCAAGGACTTCCTGTGTAAAGCTGGCGCGGCAGTAGTCTGGAAAGGGGGGCAATGGCTTGTGACCACCTATCTCCTGCCTCCACAATTGCAATCCGTGTTGCGTAAGTCGAGATCCGCAAAGGCTGTGAAGGGTTTGGCGATGCAGGGGTTGAATCACAGCGGATACAGGGGTGATACTTTTCGTGCGCTGTGCATTCATGTGGCGCCGGAATATCCTGAGAATTTGCCCTTGATTGAAGAGGTAGTGATAGCCGCCAATGTGACGGCGGTTGGTGTCCAAATGACCTCAATATCGCTGCCCAAGGAGAACTATCTACATGCTGCAATCTATTTCGTGATTGGAAAAGACAGTCTGAAGCTTGAGTTTGGACAGGACGCACTGACAGCCCTTGTTCTGAAGACTGCGAGTTTGCAAAGACTTCGTAACCAACGGTACAGCAGAATGGAAAATCTGCAAAATCCACTGCCACTACGACGCGTGTTCTACCTGTGGACCAGGCTCACGATCCAGAAAAACGATTATGATTCCGAGCTGTTCAACTGCAACCACTGTGCGGAGATGTTTGCGAGGTGTTTCCTGGATGATAGCTCCGAGGTGGTCCAACTTCTGACAGACAGAAAGGCAGAGTCTCTGAAAGAGCACGGACATCGCAGGAAGATACGGACCTTCATGATGACCGGCGTGGCAGGATTGTTCGGGAGCCAAACACAGCAGCCCCACCGGGGCATTACAGAAGAACCAACTGAAGGCAATGTTTTGGAATTCATCATGAGCAACTTGAACACATCCGCAGGCTGGAAGTTTGCGATGACAGGAAACAACGGATGTGTCACAAGCTTCCTAGCTCGTCTTGGAGAAAGTTGCTATGTGGAGTTCTCCGTGTCTCCCGAGGTGTTTTCCGAGGAAAAGGAGGCGAATTTGGTCAATGCAACAGTTAAAAATCACTTGTCGGAAGCTCTCAGTAAAGAGTTCATCTACACAGCCACCAAACCGATGGAAGAGCTCATGTCTTGCTCACCACGTCAGATGTTGGAATCGGAACACAGCAAGGAGATCGGCCAGTTTCAGCTCGGATTTCAGCCGTGGCGCTCTGAGTCGCACACATCTGCACAGGCCCAATGTTCGGAAACGGAACTTAAGGCCTGGGAGAAGGCCTGTGCGGACTGGTGGGCAAGCAAAGTCATCATAGATGGTTTCTTTGAAGCGGTTGGTGGGCACGAGTCCATGAAGCCCAAGATGCCCGCCTGGCCAGAACATCCGGGAATCAAGGGAAGCGCTCGGCGAAATCGGTCGCGCAGGTCTCGAACTCCTTGAGAGGCGTGAGTGTGAGCAGCAGAACAATTTGCTCAGGAACTTCTCTATCGCTTTTGTGATGCTCTTCTTCGTAGCGCAAATGTCACGTCTTCTGGCTATTGATGATGTCGCTAAGCTTCAGCATGTGGATACTGGTTTCCCTCCGATTAGTCGAAGTTGCTGACAATATCTAGATGTTAGCTGGATCTTTTTAAGTGCAAGGCTGGCCGACCACGTTTTCCTGGTCCGGTCTTGTAGGTGTGCCGCGAGCCGGTGCTGAGTGATGATCATGTGAAGTGGATTATATCATTCCTGCACCATGAGCATGGTGGAGTTTTCCGGCGTTGAGGCACTCACGTTCCGCAGGCCCTAAGAATGGGCTCTGAGCAGACACTCCATGTGGCGACACGCTGAAAAAGAGACCAGGTTTCGAGTTGACGCGAAGCGGCCATGCGATGGTAATTGCTTCAGACTTCAGGCGCATGGGACCGTGTTCTAGGCTTCAGGCAAGGCCTGGATGTTTTTGGAGGATGCGAATCTGATCAGAATTGGTCTTTTCAGATGAACCTTGGCATGCTGGATGTAGCCTTTTGGATCAAGACGAGCCTTTGACAAAGCCTGCTTGTTGCCCCAATGCCCGCTCCAGTCTTGGCGGCCGCCGTTGCTAGCGTCGGAGCTGCTGTTGGCGGTACTGGAGTCGGTGTTGGAGTTGCTGTAGGTGGCAAGAACGCCAAAGACGCGGCGTTGGCCATGGCTGAGGCGACGCAGGCCGTGAATGCGACCGCGGACAAGGCGGTGGGCACGGTCCAGGTCGTCGGCCTGGCCTCAGCAGGTGCCAGTGCGTCAAATGCGGTAGCGAAGATTGTGAGTGGCAAGCAAAGCTCAACAGAAAGGAGTCTTGGGGGCTGGTCATAGCGTCGAGTCGAAGTTGCGGACAATATCTTGGATCTTGTTAAGTGCAAGGCTGGCCGACCACGTTTTCCTGGTCCGGTCTTGTAGGTGTGCCGCGAGCCGGTGCTGAGTGATGATCATGTGAAGTGGATTATATCATTCCTGCACCATGAGCATGGTGGAGTTTTCCGGCGTTGAGGCACTCACGTTCCGCAGGCCCTAAGAATGGGCTCTGAGCAGACACTCCATGTGGCGACACGCTGAAAAAGAGACCAGGTTTCGAGTTGACGCGAAGCGGCCATGCGATGGTAATTGCTTCAGACTTCAGGCGCATGGGACCGTGTTCTAGGCTTCAGGCAAGGCCTGGATGTTTTTGGAGGATGCGAATCTGATCAGAATTGGTCTTTTCAGATGAACCTTGGCATGCTGGATGTAGCCTTTTGGATCAAGACGAGCCTTTGACAAAGCCTGCTTGTTGCCCCAATGCCCGTTCCAGTCTTGGCGGCCGCCGTTGCGGCAATCCGCAAGCGACAGCTCCCGAGACGCTACAGCAAGGATGCAATGTCTTCCAGAAGCTTGAAGGCCGGCAGCTACCTGGTGATGGTCTTGTGTCGAGACGATACCAGCCACGTCGGAACTTCCGACCTTTCATCTTTTTGCCCTTTGTTGTCTGCGCTGCCTTCGAGAGTCCGCATCTGAACTATGAGCTCCAGGTTGTGTCGGACGGTGGGAACCTGCCAAACTCAGCAAACTCCACAGATCCATGCTTTCTGGGAGCCCGTCTCACTGACTTCTTCACGAAGGAACAGTATTGTCCTTTGTTTGCCAGTCAGAGCTATCTGGGAACCACCTTTTCCTGGTACGGGCTTTTCTTGGCCTCTGTCGGCTTCGCCTGGCTGATGGGCATGAGCATTGATGCAGGCGCTCTAGACCCCAAGCCCTGAAACCCAAAGAGCCCCCAAAAACCCATCAAAAAAGCCCTAGAACTAAAAAAGAACCCAAGCCCTAAACCCTACCCGAAACTTCAGCGCTCAAAACATGCCGAGGACCCAACTCGCCCTCGGCGTTGGTGCGCTTCTTGGACTGCACGAGGGCCAAGTACGACGAAGGGCACCTGCTGGCCTACTTCGTCACCATCACCCTGCGCCTTACATATCTTTGGATGTTTTTAAAGTTTTTTACTCTAATAAACATCCTGAGGATTATGAAAGCTATGTTTTTGATTATGGTTCTAAGGGCTTTCTAGTACGGGGCTTTAGAGGGTTTAGGATGTGGGGCTGGGTCGCGACTTGCGGAGTTCGGGCAGCGATCCTGCAGAGCCCCGACTGTGCCAGTAGACAATTGAGAGCCAGAGCCACAAGGTGCTTCGTCTTTGCGCTGCTCTCGAAACGCGCATCCTTCATCGCCGATTCGGACGCTCGTCTTCAAATCCCGCACGCGTTGAGGGTCTGGTTTGATTTGGGGTCCAGGGGCTGTGGGCTTCCGACAGACCTTCGGTCACGAACCGTAGCGGACGCGAAGCAGGACTGGGTATCTTGCATCCGGTACGGCGACTGGTCCGGACATGAAGATCTGTGCATGCCGGGTGCCATTCTGGAGCAAAGCTGGAGTCTTTGCTGCCTTACAGATCTGTGCTCTGCCGTGGTCACACACACTAGGAAAGCCCGAAGCTTGAAATGCTTGAAACGACATGTTTCGAACCAGAAAAGCAGCTGTGGAGCAGAGTCCCGCAGATTGAGGTGTTCCCTGCTCTTCTGGACCGTGCTGTCCTTCGCAACTTCCGTGTCAGACCAAGGGGATATCACGCCCCACTCCATGCGGGGGCTGTGCTCTTGGCTTCCCTGCTGGCCAGCCCGCTCCTCACCTTCAGACGAAGACGAGGGCGAGAGTACTGAAAGTTTGCTGAGAACAGAAGTCTACAGCACAGACCAGCTGACGGCAGTGGCGATGAGGCTAAAGGCACTAGTCCGGCGGCAGATGCACGTCAGCCGGGAGATGTCCAAGAACCGGCAGTCCAGCCTAGCAGAGGCACTGCTCTTCCCGATCACGTCTGCCGCCTGGGTCTTCGGTGGGGAGGATGAAGACGAGGCACCGGAGATCGGAATGTCCTTCTACCAGTGAAGGATCTCCTGGCATGAGAAGAAGATTGTTGAGACCCTTCACTGAGTTACGCTTAGTCTAGCAGCACTCTTCATGCTTGGCACGCAGGAATCATCGGATTTCTTGCAGGAACGTAACCCTCAAACTTTGGCTGCCGGAGCCAAGGTGTTCTTTCGACGAAGACTTGGAAGAGCTTTGTCGCGATGTCCAGGGGCCCGAGGCAGTACTTCGTGCAGCGGACGCGCTTCGGGTCAACATGCTTGGGAACACGGACCAGGCTCGGGCCGCTCGGGCTTCGGGGGTCTGTGGTGATGTTCCGCATGACCGTGTAAGGACCCCCAATTCATACATATTCATACTAATGGGTGATGCAGGATTTGTCCACCAACAGCGCCCCCACGCCCCCCGCCACCAGGACGTTTGGAAGGTCCACCAGCACGGATTCCAGAAGGTCAAAGATGATTTTGCATCTTGGACGGACCAGCCGAGGGATGTCTGCATCTTCGACGAGTATGACTTCTGTCCCATCATTCGGGGCTACCGCCCCCGCAAGACGGACAGGGACCTCGAGTGGCAGAAGCTTGGCTTGCCTGGGGGGCGGGCCCCTAGAGGCGATCAGGGCACATGTGTGTGTGTGTGAACATATTAATATGTATATTGTATATGTATACATACATATGTATATATATATATATGTATATGCATATGTATATGTGCATGTGCGTATACCTGTCTATCTGTCTACCTCTATACTCATCTATATTTATATCTATAATGATATCCATATTTATATCTATATACACACACACGTGCATGCATGTATCTGTGTATCTGGGACACGGCTTACAAAAAAAGATCGCAATGCTACTGCGTCGACGACGACGGCGGCGGCGACGGCGACGGCGACGGCGACCACGACGACAACGACGACCACGACGACCACGACGACCACGACCACCACGACGACCACTACCTCCACGACCACCACGACCTCCACGACCACCACGACCTCCACGACCACCACGACCACCACGACGACCACGACCACCACGACGACCACGACCACCACGACCACCACGACCACCACGACCACCACGACCACCACGACCACCACGACCACCACGACCACCACGACCACCACGACCACCGCGACCACCGCGACCACCGCGACCACCACGACGACGACGACAGCGGCGACGACGACGCCCACGACGCCGACGACGCCGACGACGACGACGACGACGACTACTACTACTACTACACTGCTGCTGCTGCTGCTGCTACTGCTACTACTGCTACTACTGCTATTACTGCTAATTACGAGGGGAGGGTCTGCCTCATGCTCGGAATCGGGGGAAGCTCGGTGGTTAGCATCCGGCGCTCAGGCCAAGGATCACATGTTCATACAGATGCATCAAATTTTTGTATCTATATATGCACACACGTATGTGGATGGTTTCGTTTTCTTTGTCTATGGTTTAAGCTCCCTTGAGTCCTTGAGTCCAAGGAACACAACCGTCTTCGGCAGGCGCAGGGGCTGCTGTCGCCACAGCAGCAGTGTGGCCGCCGAAAACCAGGTTCCAAGACCCAAGACCAGCTGAAAGGAATCCCTTTGGGCAGAACCTGAACCGGGGCACAAGAAGTAGCCAGCAGCCAAAGCGCCAAGCTGTCGTGAGGCTAATCTGCCCCAGTCCGTGCAGAAGGGCCGAGCTGCCGAGTCCAGGTGCCTGATGGTGGTGAAGTGGGAAAAGGCAACGTGGCGAAACGGGGCTTACCGATAGCATGGACCCTGGACTCTAGACCAAAACCGAGAAGGGCTAAGCCGCAGAGCTCCTACACTCTAGGCACTCAAGATTGTCGACCAGCCCGTGGCCTCGCGATGTATCCGGGCTTGGTTTCAAGATCCTTCTTGCTCTTCCTGGCTGGTTTGGGGTTCAGGGTATAGGGATGTTATGAGGTTTTGATTTCGAGCTAGACCTAGGTCCCGGTGTCAACGCCCACTCCGTGACCGGCTTTGTTTTGGGATTGATTGCCTGCCTCGTGACCTGCATTTCTCCAATCGGCGATGCTACTACTATTGGGAACAGATGCCCGAGGCAGCTTGCTAAGTTTCGGGGCCCTTTATTGAGTTTGGTTGCGGGCCCAAAGTGGCCCATGAACGAGACCTTCCCTTGCTCCCTCGGTTGGCTTCTCATGTCAAATTTGCAAAATGATTTGTCACATGTACATAGAAATAAATACTTCGGTTCTACTCTATCCTGGTACACTGTAGAACCTAGCTACATACACATATTACATATACATATACTTTTTTCATATGCATGCACATATGTTATCCTGTGTTATCTTATCGTATATCGTATAACGTATTAGAACATATGAAACATATTTTGTCATATTAGAAATGCTATTATATGATTAAATTAGATATTCTATATTACATCTAGTACATTCTATATGTTATACAAAGTCATGCTTGATACATTATGTATTCTATATGTTAAATAAACATATGCCATATCATGCATCATGTAAAATGTATAATATACAATATATAATGAATAATCCAAAAGATATACTAATCACAATAGCAATAACTCTAGAAATATATTACCATATATTACAGATAATGCATGGTATTTCGTTTCTTATATATCTGTACTTGTCATATAACGTTATATACTATCATCTTATCTTATCATTTCCTGTATTGCCGGATAGAATCTTGCATTAGCTAATATAGTATACCCCACACACACATATATATATATATTATACACATTCAGACAGGCATACAGACAGGCATACATACATACATACATACAGATGTAGGGCGTCCAGGTGGAGCTCCGCTGCAATGCAGAGATCTCTGGCATCAATCCCTGGTGCTTCACGGGGCGGCCCATCCACATGGTGCGCGTGCTTTTTCTGCCGCCCCGGGATCTCTTCCCTGCTGGCCGGCTGGACGTGATCATCTGCGCTGCTCTCAAATTTCTTATCTACGGTCTCCTGGGCTCCTTGGTCTAAAGATGCCTCTACAAGGTGGAGGCACAGCAGACTTGCAAATGTCCAGCATCTACTTGACTTAACTGTCCACCCGAACCTCATGCAAGGTAGCCTCCTGTCGGTGACGCTGCGGAAGACCTTGCTTGGCTTGAAGCAGGCTCAGGATGCACTTGGCATCCTGAATGCAATCCTGATGCGATGGACTAATGATCGGCGTGTATCCCTTGTTCACTTCCACACCTGGAACCTAGTTCGAGAGTCCATCCTTCGCAATGATGTAAAGAACATCTTGGATCGCTCGAGAATGTCGTTCTCCTGTACATCATTCTTGCCCTGTACTTTGTCACCGATGCCACCATCCAGATCGTCATTCGAAACCAGCCCCCGAGCATCTTAACCGCCTACACGGTGTTCATTTTCGTCGGCTTTTTCTTGCTCTGCCTCCGCCAGGACTGCTCAGATCTTAGCGTTTAGGGTTGAAGGCCCTAAACCCTAAACCCTAGACCCTAGACCCTAGACCCTAGACCCTAAACCCTAAACCCTAAACCCTAAACCCTAAACCCTAAACCCTAAACCCTAAACCCTAAACCCGAACCATTTGGAGCATCCCAAAAATCCTGACCTGGACCTTCAAGGCCATGGCCTGCCATTACATGCAGATGCAACACGCCGAGAGCCTCATTGCCTTGAAGGAGGCGACCTACTGCTTGAGTCCCTGGCCGGCACATGCTGAGGGTTTAGGGTTTAGGGTCTAGGGTTTAGGGTTTAGGGTTTAGGGTTTAGGGAACCCGAATGTACTACTAATATTAAGAATAAGATGACTAGAACAGTAGGAATCAGAATCATAATAACGATATTATCAATCGAAGTACTACTACTGCTGCTACTGCTGCTGCTGCTACTGCTACTGCTACTGCTTCTGCTACTGCTACTGCTACTACTTATAGTAATATTGATAATAATAGTAATAATAATAGCAATAATAGTAGTAAGAATACTAGCATTCACAACAATAATGATGTTTAAACAGAAATATAAGTATTACTGCAATAGCAATGATAATAGTGAAACCCTAAACCGCCAGTTCTTCACACGTCTGCTTCTGGGTCTACCTGTCTGTACGGTTCGAGGCAAAGTCCTGTACATCTAGTGCCCCATCTCGATTACTCGATGCATCCTTCCCTCGTACTCCTAAGCACTTGTGAACATCTGTCTGTGTCTGAGTGCACCGTTGTGCTTTGCACCTCGGCAGATGAAGCGCTCGCTACACACGGAGCTTCGAGGCATCGAGCGCCCAGCTAAGGCTATGGCTCTTCTGCGGAGCAGGTCCGAGAGATGGTGGATGTCATGGCGACTTGGCCTTTCAAGATCAGAGTCTACAACCTGACAGCACAGAAGCGAAACCTAGGCCACTGTCCTTTCAGAACTTGAGCCTGCTTGTTGCAGAGTGATGCATCCTTCAAAGGTGAAGCGCATCACAAGCGGCGGAGACTTCCAGACAAGATTGATCTACCTTCCTTTGAACCCCACGTTCCAGAGAACTTTGCTAGGATATGTGGCGGTACAGTTTGTTGCGATACTCACGCGCCTGGCTTTTTTTGCCCAGTTCACATCTGCGGAATAGCAATGATGGGCCAATGGATACCGTTTCGTAGAAGCCGACTTGTCAAACAAGGACGGACGCTGAACTTTGCGAAACATGCAGAGACTGATGACATCCCGTCGGTTTCCGACAGGGGGAGGGGGCATGGTACACCCAGAGATGTGATTTATGCATATATTATTACATCTTTATTAATTATGATAACTAGTATCCTATTTGTATAACTTTGTTTCAGTCTGAGAGGTAAACCTTCCCGTACCAGCTGCTGAGAAAAGCCCGTGGGGTTTGAACAGCTTTGCTGCGAGCCTGCAACTTTGCATATTGGGCTCCTGGATTAGGGTTTAGTGTACAGGGTTTAGGGTTTAGGGTTCGGGTTTGGGGTAAAACCCTGGAAACAGGAGACGTATTGCACGTACAAGGCTTCGACGCAGCCCCGTCCTTCGATATCGATTGTAAGGCGAGTAATCGGCAATATCATGGTGTCGGGTCCCTAGTATACTTGTACTATAGTTTACCTTTGGGTTTCGTGCACCCCCTACTGCAGTTGCTACGTATTGTTACAGTTCCGCTTCCTCCAGCCGTCGCTTCAACATTGCTGCGCAGACGACCGGGCCATCAGTTGTAAGCTGCAGCCGTCGGCTCCGAACGATTGAAAACATGGAGCAAGGAGACTCCCATCTCCATCTGCTTACTGACTAAGCTCTACCGCTCATCATATGGCAGCATGGTCTTGGACTCCGAGGTTCGTTGAGAACGACATGTTGAAGCTGACAGCTCTGTTCAACAACTTCGAAAAATACTGTCTGAACGTAAACAATAGGGCCATGTAGATTTCTCTAGGCGTTCAGGGCACACCCCGACATGGCTGTGCCATGGCCACCTTTGCACAAATCGTGCGAAAGGGGGTTCGCACCCCAGAGCGTGCCACATTGCAATATCGGGATTGAATCGGTATTTCGATGCGGTTCGCATATCTTGACATGTGCCTACAGCCACTTCAGGAAGTGATGCTCCTTCGTTTGTGAAGCAGGGTGATTTGTTCCTGAATGTCTGTTCTATTTATCTCCAGGTCGTGCTTTGGGTGCTGTCCAGCCGTTTGCTGCTCACGACTGCGAACCCAAGGTGGGGCAGATTGGGAAGACGCGTGCAAAGGGGTGTTAGTTGTGGTGCACTTGTAGAAACCGTAATACGATAATTTGTTTAGACAGCAGAGGGTCGGCGGCAACTTCCTTGAGTCTGTCTTGGCTCTGGATTTTGACTTGGGAGCTCTCAGCTCCATTCTCCGCCATCTTGTGTTTCTGCCTCTCTCCGGCCGATTCCCTCCCGCGGTTTCTCACTGCGACTGCATCTATCTTGTGCCTTTGGTCGGCGAGTTTCCTAAGCGCGTCCCTGCTGCTGTTACGTTCACTATCAAGAGGCATCATTGGCCACCAGCCGACATAGTGAAATCAACAAAGGGAGGGAGAAGGAACTGAGAGGAGGAGGCAGATTCGAGCGCCCCGAACTTACCCCGAAGTTCCGTTACAATCCTGTTCCCTGAACCCTCATAATCCCCTCAAGAGCAAAAAAAGCATTCACAAGCCCTAAGAAGCCCTAAGAAGCCTTTAAGCCCTAAACCCTAAACCCTTTGTGGCAACGCCAAGAGGCGGCTCTCGGACTCCACGGAGTGCAACGCCCCGTGCCAGCCTGGCCAGTTCAAGGCCCTGCCCTTGGTGGCGCTCTGTGGAGGAGGCGGTTGCACCGTGGAGGCCCAAAGGGGTTGGGGGGTTTAGGGTTTATAGGGTTTATAGGGTTTATAGGGTTTATAGGGTTTATAGGGTTTATAGGGTTTATAGGGTTTATAGGGTTTATAGGGTTTATAGGGTTTATAGGGTTTATAGGGTTTATAGGGTTTATAGGGTTTAAGGGTTTATAGGGTTTATAGGGTTTATAGGGTTTACAGGGGTTTAAAGGGGGGGGGGGCACAAAAGCGCCTCTTTAAACCCCGCGTACAAAAGGCGCTGCAGTCCCTGAAGAGTTGCATCCTAGAAGCCATTAAAGCCATCTTCTTAAGCCCTCCCTGAAGCCGTTTATGACAGGATGATATCCTCAAGGGGAAGTCCCGCCTCTTCATGCAGCTACCGGTCGGCAGCAGTGGCATCCGCGTGGAGATGACCACGCGCCAGACAGATCAGGATCTGCAACTCGTTGATCCTGGGACAGGCATCTTGTCGGAAGGATTTGGGGGTTTTCGAAAATAGTAGTACCCTTTTAACATTTTTGGGGTTCCAAAATAAAGATTATGCTATTTGGGGAGAATTATATTAAGGGTACCCCTACTTAGGGAAGTGCCCAGTTCGGGTAGTTGGGTGTTGGGTGTGTGGAAAGGCTAGGCCGCAACAATGCGGTTCTGCTTCTCTGCCATGAGGCGTTTGTGTGGCCGGTGCCGTTGGAGATACGTGTCCCGACGGCGGACGGCCTGCGAATGCCCCTTGGATTCTTCGTTTCCACCCAGCGGTGCCTTGCTACTAAACAACATGGAAGTAAACATAATACCAAAAAAATTGAACTCAACAGATGCCAAAAACATCCCGCGAAAAGTTATTCAGATTTGTTTGGAATTTGGGACAGGGCTCAAACAAATCAGCAGCAGATTCAATAGCACCAGCGCAACAAAAAGGCATGCGAAGTCTTTGTACAAGGGTGGCCCTCCTATTTTCCTGCACATCTCGTTAGGTTTTCACTTCCTAACCAGGAACAGGGCTTTGACCGGCATTTACAGTTCCTGGCCCTTAAAGGTGAAATGTCGAGGATGGTCCATTGGAAAAAGGGGACAATACATGGTAGGCTATACTATACATACAAGCATACGTGTCTACATTTTGTTGAACATACATGCGATAGAGCTTCGCATCTTCAGATTGCAAAGCGCTTTCCAAGAAGCAAGTAGGCGTCCATGGCCAACTGACATGCGTTTTGTCATTTTGCAGGCTGGCACCGGCTGTACAGATGAGAATGACTTCTGCGTCTCCTACGCAGGGATGAACTGGTACTTCTCAGGGGACAAGCAGCTTGCACCCGTGCTCGAGAAGCTCTCACTGCAAGGCTGGTGAGTCTTCAGTTACTGAAGCCTGAAGGCAGAGCTCCAAGAAATCCAAGACTCCTGTAGCTGTCACACGAGGCAACGTGACGCAACTTCTGAGTGTGTGGGTGGAGGCGTGGAAGGATCTTCAAGTGGCTTGAACTCAACACTTTTACGCTCAGCGTCACACCAGTCCAGACTTCTCTGTGAAGGCACCGAGCGGGGGAGAACTCCAGGCTGGAACAGACACTGCCATGCGGTACACTTTTTAGGATCAGCACAGGAGTCATGGCCCCGGCCCCTCCATTCGCATCAGGTCCAAGTCCGGAATGATCCGATATCGCCATGCCCTGATCAACTGCCTGGCTGCCTGCCTTGCGAGCAGTATGATCGCCCCTTCCTGAGCATTCCTGCATGAGCCATGATGATGTAGGCATGGTGCCATGATGCTACTGTTCATAGTGCCCATGATTCCCATGATTCCCATGATTCCCATGTGGCATGAAGAGGATGCGGCGTATTTGACAAGAAGATTTGCGATGGCAGCGCTGTGGTCCTGTGCGAAGCCACGACCCAGACGACGAGCACAAGCAACCCTGCTGCTCAACGTGGGGTTTTAGGGGGTTTACGGATTTTGGGGCTTTTAGGGTTTAGGGTTTAGGGCCGAGGGTTGAGGGTTCGCAGCGCAATCGCATACTCTAGTGATTAGGCTGAGTCTGAGAATTCTTGCACCGTTCTGCCACACTGCCTCTTTGGCCGCAACCCGGTTCTGCAGAATAGTGAAGCGAACAGCAAAGAGAGAAATGAGTCGAAGTATCGGCACACGACCACTACTTGAAAGACATGGGGGGGTGCTTCGAGAGCTTGCGTTTTTCGGTGTCAAAGCATGTCTGCTAGGTTTTGCATCCCAAGGATGGCGCGGACATTCCATGACATTTCACTTGAAAAGAGAGCTCAGTTGAGCTGGGAGCTTTCAAAGCTTAGAGAGCTTGGTCTCACTGCCTCTCTGGCTTCAAAGGATTTTTGTCATCTTCATCAAATTTATGAGCCTTCGGACATGTGTGGTGCGCTCTTCACAGAGCCTTCTTCGTGCCAGAATTGTGATGCAACACTTGTTGCCAGTTGTAGCCCACCGCTGCCACAACAACAATCGGAAACGGAGTAGAATGAGTAGACCTGGCCTGACGGTTGGCCTGACATTGGCCTAACACTTCATGATGGCGGCCTTTGAGTCCAGAAGTGTTACAAAGCCCTGAACTGAAACCGGCTTTCTGTAGATCCGCCGAGCGCTTCATCACGCATTAAACCTGATCAATACTAGCATTTCGTCTTTCACCCAGGCCAAGACCAGCTTTGTAAAGTTGTGGGTTCGCATAGCAATGCATTTGTCCACAAGCGAGAAGCCTCAAGGCACGCAAACATCGGTCACGGCGACAAGCTCCACATCTTCCTCCAGAACGTCTTCCACCACTTTCTCCTCCACGGCAGCCTGGCAGGAAGGAAGTCGCTACAGTCCTGAGACGGCCTAAGGCCGCCAAAGTGTTCATCCTGTCAAACCCGAGGTGACGACGAAAACAGCAACCAGAACATCAACTTCGGCCACCACTACGTCCACCGCAACCAGCACCATATCCAGCACCAGCCACACGCGCACGACGACTCTCACTAAGACTTCCACAAGCACGACAGCCTCGAGAACATCGACAGGCCAAGTGGAGGGAGGGTTTCGTTGCGGCGGAACCGATCTGTTCAGGGCTGTTATGACGAATGGCTTCTGTGTGATGTCATCACGGCGCCCCAAGATTTTTCCAGGAAGCTTGGGCTATCTTGCTTTCTTGCAAGTCTGCAGTTCCAGCCATTGTACCCTTGCCAGGATCATCAACAACCACGACACTGACGAGCACTGTGGTCAGCAGCACCACCTCGGCAAGCTCAACCATCACCAGCAGTCTCAGCACTACGACCACCATGAACAGCGAAACGACCGAGACCACCTCACAGACATCTGTTACTACTTCCAGCTTGACACTCACCACTTCAACGAGTACTAGCCATACTCAAACACAGACTCACACAGCAACGACCAGCTCCACAACCAGAACCATGACATCTTCCAGCTCACTGACATCCTCCACTACTGCCTCCGGGACCACAACAGAGACCATCTCTTCGACTTTCACATCGAAGACGTCCACATCGAGAAGCTCTACGTCGACAACCTCAGCCTCAACAACAAGAACCTCCACGACCTCTACCTCCACGACCTCCACCTCCACGACCTCGAGGTCGACAACCTCTTTGACAGGCACTGCTACCGCTACCGCCAGCACGACGAGCATCACATTCACCGGATCCACCAGCATCACCGCCACCACGACCTCTTCGACTTCGTCGACCACAACGAGCACAACATCGTCCACAAGCCTTACCAGCTACACGCATACTGCAACTGCAACGATGACCTTCACTACATCCTTAACTGTGTCGCAAACCACGTTGACGAGCACAAGTTCAACGTTTTCCACCACCTCCGTCCTGAGCTTAGCTTGGACTGCTCAGCGCACTGGCCAAAGCCATGAATGAGGCTGTCACACAACACGCGCGATTGCACATCAGATCCCTGCACTTTGCATGCCCTGCGGAAGGCCACGATCACCAGCTCTAGCACAACGATCACTACCACAACGGTCACGCACACGTCTTCAACGAGCACGACGACTACCAGCACTGGGACGTGTGGCTGCTGTGAGCTCTGCAGCCTTGGCGCCCCCCCGGCCGCGAAGCTCGTCTCATCCTGACATGTCAGTCGTGCAAGTAGACGCTCTGGTATGTGCATGCTGCTCGCGAGATTTTGTTGTGGTTTTGCTCGCCAAGACAAAGATTCTAAGCTGACGGCACTAGATACGACCAGCGGCAAGGATGTTGGCAGCATCTGATGATGACACAAGTACAGCCCTGTCTGTGGCTGTCCCTGCCCGGATCCGAGCTTTCTCATTGCCGAGTTGCGTTGACAGTAGACGTGCTGGTATGAAGATGTTTTTTTGTCGGAGGTCATGCTCGTGCTGCTCCTCTTGATGCTCCTTCTGACAGGGTGGCTGTGCAAACGAAGAAAGAAGCAGGACTGTAGCTGTACCTTCTGTGTGTCTGTGTATATCCAAGCCTCACTTCTGCACGACATCATAAGCATCAACTCGAGGATGGGAAGGGATCCGAGCTTTTCCCCTTTCCCGCGGTTGATGCCTCTGTTGATGACGTCCCGAAGCGCCATGCCAAAGTCGGACCGGACGAGGCCGCACCAACTTGCATCAAGCTGTGTAGGTCGAGCTGTTCAGTGCTCCAGCGGTTCAAGTGCCAAGAGTTGGGTTGGGTTACAGGGCTTCTTCGCAAAGCACGCCAAGCCTGCCGGCTTATTTCCGACCTGGACAAGTTCCCTAAATTGATGTGCTGGGTTGTCCAATACTAGAGAGGCACTTCTTGCCATGACGAGCGAGAATACTCGTACATCTCGCCCGAGTCTAGCCTGTATCACCTTCTTCGTCTAGTACAAAAAACAAATCCGACAACTTGACCAAGGACAAAACAAGACTAGAAAACGAACCTACACACGCATGCGTGGATGCTTGCTGCAGGCTTCATTTCAAGACTCCCAGGAGCTGTTTGAGCTCAAAAGGCGGAATCAGCCCGCTGGCCACAAGGGACAGAATTTTCATGTCTGTGTGTGTGCGTATATGTAAATATCTATCTATCTATCTATCTATCTATCTATCTATATATGCATATATGAATATATACATATGTATATATAATTTAATATAACAGAACATAACATAATATAAAATAAAATAAAATAAATATAATTTTATATATAGTATAATATGTAGTACAATCTATAGTATATTATATAGTATAATATACAGTATAACATATAGTATAAATACATAAATAAATACATATGTATACAAAGACAGGGTACTCCCAAAGCAAAGCTGCCAAGGAGCTTGTTGGCAGAGCTCTCAGGGCTGAGAGTGGAGCTTGCCACGGCCAAGGGGGCCGCGGCCGAATCAGCTGCCTTGCTGGAGAGCCGCCGTGCCCAGGAGGACTTCCTGTTACTGTAGTTCAATGGTTCGACCCAAAGGTGATATCAGAAACATCAGTCTTACATTCTGGTTAGAGCGGGGTACAGGTTATGGCATATGTTCCCGAAGACAAGGCTGCAGGGTAAACAGGGGTTGGTAGGTGTTGTCGCCCGGCGAGCCTCGGCCGGGACCCGAAGCCTCGTTTTCGAACGAAAATTGCGCGATCGCCTACCGCCAGCATGCCCACATTTGCCATCCTCGAAGCCGTCGTCGCTGGTTGGCGTCGGTGTTCGCGAAATGCGAAACTATCTTGGATCCCGTGGGCCTGGCGGAAGTGTAACACGACACGTGGATACGACATGCAGGCCCCACGCTGTCATGGATCTCAGCATCCATGACGGTTCAACAGAAGCAGCGCCCCTGCAATTCTCATGTGTTTGTACCTTGAAATTGTCTGGAGTCTGAAGTCAGTTCCAACAGAACCCTGAGCTTGTCGGACAACTGAAAGCCCCCGACTTCTGCAGAATGAATTATTGCATTTGTTATTCGGGTGGGGTGGGGCTGTGGGGTGGGGCTGCGGGGTGGGGCTGTGGGGTGGGGTGGGGCTTTAAAGTGGAGTGGGCTTTGGGGTTAAGGGGTAAAGGGTCTTTGCTGGGTCATCGGGAGGGGCATCAAACTCCTTGTTGATCCGCTAAACCAGAAACCCCTGACCCCCGAAACTATAAACCCCAAGCCCCAAAGCCCTATAGACCCTAAACATCCCTAAGCCCCAATATGAAGTTGGTGGAGGAGGCGATGGCCGCTTCGTGGAACCGCCGCCAAGTCCGCCTCCAAACCAAGGTTCAGCACTTGCCGCTCAGCCGGAGAGCAGTACTTACACACTGGCTTCGGGTTTTCGGTTTTTGTGTTTAGGGTTTAGGGTTTAGGGTTTAGGGTTTAGGGTTTAGGGTTCAGGGTTTAGGGTTTAGGGTTTAGGGTTTATGGGGAGGCATTCCAAACCCTTATAAGCCCTAAGCCCCAAGCCCATATCAGCTGAGAGTCCGTTGAGCACGTGAGGCAAGCGCTCCTACAATACATGGTCTATCACGCCACAGAGCTGGCACGGGTGGTGCAAGGGGACTGTGCCCAGAAGGGAAAGCTGCACCATCAGGTGGGAGAGGTCAAAATCGACCGAAGAGCGTTTTCGGGATTCGGGATTACAGGGTTTTAGCGTTGTGGGTTTTCTTGGCATTGATTCAAGCTAGTGTTGAGTCATGCTCGCCTGCATTGCAGTGACATCACAGGTGGCGGTCGTAATGCAGAGGCGGGCAGCAGTTTGTAGTCCTGTAAACAAATGCCCTTTGACAACACTGCGAGCTTCAGGATCCGTTGGCTTCAGGACGAGCTCGCATCCCCGGCACACCCGGAGGCTGCTCGGACTGAAAGGAGCAGTTGCAGTTGCGGCCGGTTTTTTTTGTCGGGTTTTTGGCTTTTCCGGCTTGCGGGCGATGACATGGGACCCGCATGATGCATGCTCAGGCAGCCGCAGAGACTCCGGCTAGCCTCGCCTGTACAGGCAGGCCCCGGGTCAGATATACTAGCAGAATCTAGCGCACGTGCATGATGGTGCATGTATACATTCAGAGATGCAGCATTGGCTCTCCCGCGTTGAGAATCACCAATGCGCCTGATCCTGCAGCAGAGACGGATCGAGTGAGAATGGACGCCAAGATAAGAGCAGGAGGGTATGGCGGCACGGGAATCTCAAGCTTTCTCTCTCCTCGCAGGTGCCGAGCCCGCCGAGCCCAGTCCTCCCAGCCCACGCAGCCCAGCCCGAGAGCCGGTCACCGTAGTGCCTTGGCTACATGGTTTAGGGGCTTCGGGTTTTTAGGGTTTATGGGTTTAGGGTTATTCGGCTCTTTCTGGAACTCCTTTGCCAGCCTTATGAAGGCCTTGCATGATGGCTAGAGAAGGTGCTTCAGCCGGCGGCCGGGTCAGCCGCAGTCAGCCCCACATGCGAGGCCGCGACGGCTTGCGCCACTCATGATCTCTACTGGAACTCTTGACATGTTGAGCTGCCGCAAGCTGTTCTGTCCTCACCAGTATTCGTCCGCGACGATCCTAATCCTGACGCCTGCCGCTGCGTAACCTCTAGTGTGAAGATGCACGCATGCTAAGTCTTAGCAAGCCGATCCACTCCCAGAGCCCGTAAGTGTAGATGCTGCTCTTGCAATTCACACCCCTCGTTGCAGCAGGAGTTTCCGCCGCAGCCTGCAGATCCTTCTCCAGCCCCGCTTGCGCCGCCAGCCCTTCTCCTGGCTGCACTTTGGCAATACGTAATTCATTTTGAGGTATCTACTTGTAACACGGAATGGTTGATATTGCGTTACTTGCATGTGCACAGTACAATCATTCATCATCTTTTCATTAAACTTGCAGAATAGATATTCGTTTGCGTCAAGAATGCATACACATTGTAGCAAAATATCGCGAATTGGTTTCAACCGGCTTAACCCTCAAACAATGGAGATATTTTGGGATGTTCCCCCTGATACTAACAGTCCTTTATAGGGATTATGGTACCCCCTATTCGAATCCCTATTAAGGGGGACTCCAAGAGCCTTCAAGCGATCGAGGAGACAAAAAGAACATCGGCTGGCTCAGAGCCGGAGCCCTTCTCGGTGGCCCCGCGGCTGCAGAAGATTTCAAGACTCTCCACCTTACAGCCCATAAACGCCTTTAAAACGCTCAAGCCCCATCAAGCCCCCTAAACCTTAAGCCGACTTGTTTTTCTAGATGGCTGGTTGAGTTCTGGAAATTAGTTGGGATGTGCTGTGGGACGGAATGCCGGGTCTTCCGAAAAAAAGAAAGCGCCCGGAGCACACTTGAGGCCTTCCGACCACGAGCTGCGCGCCCCGCGCCAGATCTTGAATCGGTGTCGCGGTTGCAGAGCCTCAGTAGCCCCGCCCCATTGTTGCCCCACCTAGAATTTTTGAACCTAGGGGGTGAAGAGACGTGCGAATTGCTGTAGACATATAAGACTTCGTGACGCGGGGGCAGCGAGGGGCGGCGAGGGGGGTGGGGGGAAGTGAGACCCACTCCACTGAAGTTGCAGCAGGCTTTCACTTCGACGGCCTCTGGCACCCGCCTCGCTGCTGCAGCAGGTTATGCGCAGGACCTTTAAAAGAGGTCCTTTGGGATGTTCCCCCCCTATTCTAACAGTCCTTAATAGGGATTCTAATCGGGGGTACTATAGTTCCGAGTAAGGACTGCTAGTATAAGGGAGAACATCCCAACAGGTCCTTGCATATTTGTTTTTTCCGTTATACATGTTTGTTGCGTTTAACCGTTTAACCACCTGCAGCTTCTGAAGCTTCGATTTCCGAAGTGCAGGACCATGGGGCGCCCTTCCTACCGCTGCTGCCGAGTCATGTTGGGCACAGTCCCGCCAGGCATCTAGTGAATCTAGTCCGAGTAGCGAACGGGAAGAGAGGGAGAGAGAGGTAGCTCGCGGAAACACCCACAGAAGAGAGAGAGAGAGAGAGAGTTGCAGGGGGGTTAGGTGTGCAGAAAGAAAGAAAGAAAGTTGCGTTTGCAGTCTTCGGAGCTTAGACCCCGAAACCGGCCCCAAGCAAGAAACAAGGAAAGAAATAAAGAAAGAACAAGAACGATAAAGCAAAGAACAAGACAAAGAAGACGAAAGAAGCAACGAGAAGGGCACAACCTTCCATTCGCTCACAACCCAACCGGATGCAGACCTCTGCAGGGGTTTCCACCGAACATCGGCACATCGGAGGGACCCATACCGCTTGTCTCACCCTCCTTGGAAGGGAGGGACGGAAGGAAAGGAAGTAAGAGAAAGCAGGTCTCGATTCCCGTACCGCAGCATGCGACCGCACAAGGGCTCCCGCCCTTTGCCGGAGGAAGTGAAGAGAAGGTTTCAGAAGGAGGTTTGGACCAGCCATTGGATGAGAGTGGCGGGGGGATACTGTGACCGATGAGGCGGTGGAACCCTTCACAGGTGGTTCTTTTTCGTTTTCATTCTTTCAAAAATGCTTTTGGAAATGCAGCCCACGATGTGTGGAGCGACACTTCGACCATGATAGAGTCTGAGCAATCTTGGTATCCTTGAGGCAGGGAATCGAAGGATGGCTGAGACTTCCTCCGGCCACTTCCCGTGATGCCACATCTGATGCTCGCAGGACACCCCCAGAAGCAGCCGACCCTTTGCGCGAGAACCAGCAGGAGCTGTTCTAGGAGGAATGGAAGGTTTAGGGATGTTTCGGGTTTGAGGTTCAGGTCAGATTGATGTCCTGCCAGGCACGTCGGGCAGGCATAAACATTCACAACTCACATTGGCATCGGCTGCATCAAGCACAACAACCGAAGTTCATTCGGGCAAGTCGTTGAGTTGTTACAGATGCATCGGGACCTTGCTGCCCACAATGCAACCCACATACCATCACATAACACTGACCAGAACACGTTCATGCAGTCATCTGCGCAGCATTGAGTAGTTGGGTCGGTGCATAGTAGCAAAACATTTCATGCCCACTCCAATCCCCTAAGCACTATCGCTCACAAAGCTCCTAGCGCGATGGCATTTGCAGGACCTCCGGTCTTTGAGGGACAAGCTGCTACGGCGCCACAACCTGAGCCCGCAAACGTGGAACGACCGTTTCAGGCTGGGCTGAGCCATGTCTTTGCCGGCGGGTGTCCGGCGGGTGTCTGCCGGGTCCAGAACAGATACACTGCGCTGCAGGACTTTGGGCCAGTGGACGACCGAGCGTGCTTGCCCTAGCCTGCCTACTGTAGCCTGCAGTCCTTGGGAGTCTGTCGCATGATCTTAATGGGAAGACCTCGAAGCACTTACTTTCTCTGCCTCTGTGACATGCCGATGCTAAGGAGGGATCCGGCTGGACGAAGCACAGCAAGCCCTGGAGCGTCGGATTCGACGAGCCAGCTTAGAACAATCGGTCAGGCGCTGGTGCCATCAGCATTAGCATTCGCATGTACAAGTGTCATGCAGTGTCGCAAGCTCACAGCGGGAACGACATGCTTTTGTTTGTCCACTGAGTCCACTGGTTTCTTGTCAGGCCAATGTCAGCTTCGATGCGAGCCTCAACATATGCACATCCAGAAGCAGACGATGCATAGGCACACTGCTGCCGGATCTGCTCCTGCTGGCCTTACACAAGTTCTAGCGGTGCTTCTAGGCTACTGTTCATGTCAGAGAGTCATGATCACTCCTTACACAGCCCATGTTGCAATGTCCTGCATCTTGGAGTGACTTTTTAAAGATGAAGCGGCACAGAACCTGTAGTCACTGCCAGCTCCATGGCATTGCGACTTCATTAGCAGTTCAGCAGATGTCAACACCTGGCCAGGCTGCCAAGATGGCGGCACGAGGACGACGAGGCTAAAAGCCACCCAAGACCCTTGCAGATGGAAAAAGAGAGATGACTTATCACTTTCGCGCTCGCACGGCTCCAACTTTTACCTATAGGGCCTAGAGGGCGGAGGAATCTTGCGTGCTACTCAGGAGTTCCATGCCCGGCAAGTGACCTCAAGCGAAACCCTAATCGCCACTAATAGCCATTTGTGGCTCAGAGTTTCGTCCCGTTGCTCCTCCAACATCCTTGTGCGACAGGCATCCACTCGCCCAGATTTGCCCAAGACCATGGCTTTGCGCCTTTGCCAGGCGTGGATGGCGTGGATGGCCTTGACGGCCGTTCAGGCGCAGTACCACTACCAGGTCCACGTCAAAGCCTTCACTGATGCGAACTGTGCGGAACCTAATGGCTATGAAACCATCAGTGATGTGGATGTCTGCGAGATCCGAGAACGTGATGGGGAAGACACGGTATGGACCATGACTGCTTTAAGCAGTGACCTCACGGAGGTGTACTCCTTGCGCTACGACAACCAGGAGTGCTCTGGGGTCCCGATCCAGAACGACAGCTACGTTGTGGCTTGCCATTCCACAGGCGGAGGGCTTTACCAGACACGTGAAATCATATCTTACAGCACAACCACGCAAACTCAAACAACGGTGACTTCCACAACGGAACCGGCAACAAGTGCAGCATCAGGGAAGCTGCACCACTGGTTCCCGCCACCAGGCCAGCGTTCAGACACCGAGACCTATCAGCTCTACACTTACCACTTCGATGCGAATAGTTTTCCGAACTGTACTGAAGGGCAGCACACCCAGCTCTACATCTTTGACCCTGAAATGGGAGTTTGCAGAGACTACCAGTGGAACGGTGCGCAGGTATGGCACAAGAAGCTGGTGACCGACGACCTCACGGAGGCGATCATCATGATCTACAACGACCCAGAGTGCTCGGGGACCTTGCTCGACAGCGAGACATGGACAATGGGCTGTACCGAGGAGGGCTCCAGTTCTTGGCTGCTCCTCATCGTTGACAGCGGGTCAGCCAGCACGTCAACGACTACGACTGCGGCAAGTACGAGTTCGGCAGGTACGACGTCGGCGGTGACCGACTATCACGGCCACCGATGGGTCCCGCCAGCTGGCCAGCGTTCAGAGGGTCATACCTATCAGCTCTACAACTTCCACTTCGATGCAAACTTTTTCCCGAACTGCACCGAAGGGCAGCACACCTATTCTGGCCTCATGGACCCTGCCATGGGTGCTTGCTGGGACTACCAGTGGAACGGTGCGAAGGTTTGGCACAAAAAGGAGGTCAGCGACGACCTCACTTCGGCGATCATCAAGATCTACAACGACTCAGCGTGCTCAGGGACCTTGCTCGACAGCGAGACATGGCTGATGGGTTGCTACCAGGAGGGTCCAAATTCCTGGCTGCGCCAAATCGTTGTTAGCACATCAACGACTACTACGTCGGCGGTGACCGACTATCACGGCCACCGATGGGTCCCGCCAGCTGGCCAGCGCTCAGAGGGTCATACCTATCAGCTCTACAACTTCCACTTCGATGCAAACTTTTTCCCGAACTGCACCGAAGGACAGCACACCTATTCCGGCCTCATGGACCCTGCCATGGGTGCTTGCTGGGACTACCAGTGGAACGGTGCGAAGGTTTGGCACAAAAAGGAGGTCAGCGACGACCTCACTTCGGCGATCATCAAGATCTACAACGACTCAGCGTGCTCAGGGACCTTGCTCGACAGCGAGACATGGCTGATGGGTTGCTACCAGGAGGGTCCAAATTCCTGGCTGCGCCAAATCGTTGTTAGCACATCAACGACTACGACGTCGGCGGTGACCGACTATCACGGCCACCGATGGGTCCCGCCAGCTGGCCAGCGCTCAGAGGGTCATACCTATCAGCTCTACAACTTCCACTTCGATGCAAACTTTTTCCCGAACTGCACCGAAGGACAGCACACCTATTCCGGCCTCATGGACCCTGCCATGGGTGCTTGCTGGGACTACCAGTGGAACGGTGCGAAGGTTTGGCACAGAAAGGAGGTCAGCGACGACCTCACTTCGGCGATCATCAAGATCTACAACGACTCAGCGTGCTCAGGGACCTTGCTCGACAGCGAGACATGGCTGATGGGTTGCTACCAGGAGGGTCCAAATTCTTGGCTGCGCCAAATCGTTGTTAGCACATCAACGACTACGACGTCGGCGCTGACCGACTATTACGGGCTCCGCTGGGTCCCGCCAGCTCGCCAGCGTTCTGACAACCATACCTATCAGCTCTACAGTTTCTACTTCGATGCAAATTATTTCCCGAACTGCACCGAAGGGCAGCACACCTATGCCAACCTCATGGATCCGAACATGGGTGCTTGCTCGCCCTATCAGTGGGAGGGCGCGCAGGTATGGAACACGAAAGAGGTCAGCGAGGATCTCACTTCAGCAATTGTCAGGATTTACGGCGACTCAGAGTGCTCAGGGACCTTGCTCCACAACGAGACATGGCAGATGGGTTGCTGGCAGTCGGGTCCAAGTTCTTTTCTGACGGCAATCATTGACGCCAGCACGACTCCAATCACATCCACTACGACTTCGCAGGACTCCAGCAAGACCCCAGAAGCCCTCAAGAAGAAAGCATCGCCAGGATTCGGGGACCCCAAGGTTCCGTTGGGTGCGCCCTCATTCCCTTGCAAACGCTCTCCGCGCGCTTCCCCCCCTCCCCCCTCCCAAGCGGCCTCTGCTAAGCGGCCTCCGCCAAACAGCTTGGAGCCTTACCTGATAGCGCGATGCCTTTTTAAAGTGTTGTTTGGGCTTTCGCAAATGCCGGCAGTGCTGAAACCCTGCCGGAACCCTCAACGCCCAAGTGACGGAAAGCAGGAAGTGGGGGAAGTGGACGAGGCTCGGGGGGGATTTAAGGATTGTAGGGTTGAGGCGCGTTTGAACAAGAGTTTGGGCGTTGCGTCGGCACTCAGACTGTTGGGGCTTCGGGGGAAGCTTCCTTATTCGGCTCTGGGGCTTAGGGCTTTAGATGGCTTTGGGGCTGTTGAAGCCTCGGCTGAGGGGCCTGAATTCTTCTAGAGGTGAGTCCGTGTAGCACCAAATTCAACACACGCTCAACAAACCTGGGGCCCTCGGACTCTTCCAGCCACTGGCAGGCTCGGGTCTAAGCAGCTGAGCTGTTGGGATTTTGTTGGAGATCTAAGGCGCAAGAGGTTGAGGTCTTAGACATTTGACGCCTATGCTTGTGTCGCTTCTGTGTCGGCCCTGTCTCCGAAAGAAATAACCCCAAAGCTGGGTACTCTGGGTGACGCCCCCCCTGCCCCTGTCCAGTGCGGCGAATTTGTGGAGACCTGTCTGGCGACCACATTCCCCGACTTTAGCATCCCAGCGGCAGTTCAGAGCACCCGTATTCCTAAAACCTAAGCTTAGAAGGTTTATTTGAAGTCCGAAAAACAGAAACCGATGGGGACAGCGGCTGAGTGCGGGAACTCTTGACTGTTGACCAGGCATTCTGGATTCTTGCAGAGGCTTAGAGATCAAACAGGTGGGGCAAAGGGCTGGAGAAGGTTTCAGTGGGGGCCTTTTGTCGTTGTAAGATTGTTGGGGGTCCAGGTTGCAGGGCTTGCTCGTCCAAGCCAGCAACTTCGCCAGCGTGCCAACACGGTCGCTCCCAAAAGTGGCGTGGGGTTATGGTGTGAGATGCCCCAAGGCCGCTTGCACTGAGGCGCAGCGGCCCCACCGTGACCCGGCATGACCGTGACGCGGCGTGGCCCAAATGTGAAACAGAGCATTTTTGAGCTTGCCAGCTCCAGCGGGAGCCTAGAACCCAGGTGCCGTTTTCAATCGCACGATCAGAAAGACAACCGAATGCCAGGAGGCCTGCGATACAAGAATACAGGAGAGGCTTCCCAGCTTCCGTGCGGGACCTATGTGTCAGGGAGAGCATAAGGCAACACGCCAGCCCAGCCATCAAACACCAGTCACGACGGCGCAGTGCTTTCGCGCCGTACTGGCAGAGGGCGGGGCGCGACATGCCAAACGCGCCCGTCCCACTACGTGCACGGTTCGAGAAGCCCAATGCAAGAGTGTCAGTGATGAATGGAGGCTCGCGCAGACTTGACAGCCGAAGCACAAGCCGCAAGCCCTTCCGACCAAGAGGCTCGGAAGCCCAATGCCTCCCAAACCTAAAGCCATCAACACGATTAAGAGAGTCGCTCTAAAGCCCAAACCCCCAAACCCGAAGACCTCCTGTCTCAACGCAGCCCAGGCCTCTATTCCAATGAGGACACGATTCCTCAGTTCTGCGACGTGGCTTGTTTGGCATTTATGGTGGATGTTGAAGGGGGTTGGAAGCGTACGGATACATCTGTGTACATCTGTATATAGTTGTGGGCGTTGTGAGGCTTTGGTTGGTTTGACACGGGGCAGTTTGCACAGGAGACGGGAATTCCGTATTTGTCTAAATGCCTAGACTCTTTTCCCAAAGAGTGTCGAGGTCGTTTCGGGGGCCTTTGAGAAAAGCAGTCGGGCTTTCTGCTGGACCCGGGGTAGAAACCTTTGCCCATTTCCTCATGGCTCTCACGGTTATATAGCTAGTATTCGTGCTTTGCTGAGAAGCCCGAAACCCAAAGCACACAAAGCCTTACAGCCAGTTAAAGCCTGCACGATCCTACGCCTAACTCGGCTAGAAGTCAGGGACTCATTGGCTTCTGGGGCTGTGCCTTGGATGAGCAGAGGCATGGCG